GTTAATTAAACGATGTGAAAAGATCCGAGCAGTTAATCAGTTTGGTCACGAGTTCGCATTTGGCACCAGCCACAGCCGGGTCGGGTGCCTAGTCCCGCCCATCTCATGGATCTTAGTCCGCGAAAAGGAAAACATTTCCAGAAATCATTAGTAGCTTTTCGTGCAGCAATTTTCCAATGAAATTTCCCATCAACAAAAAATAGAACCTGGAAGTTGAAATCGATCTCTGGTGGTCCATTGTCGGCGGATAACTCACTAGAGAATAAACGAAAAACCAGCGAGCAGAATATAAGGAGTGCAGCTACCAGCAAGATCGAGAAGAGTTTGTTGTCATTGGAGCAGGTTATTCTGCAAGAGCTCAGGATTAGTAATTTTCTGTCAAAGTGTGTATGAAAATATTACAACTTTAGCTAAAAATGTCAAGAAAATTGAGGTGCTACTCATATATGAAAGTTCAAAACCTCGAAAGCATGTGCTCTTTAGGCGAGGGGAAAGGAGAGAGTCAAGACCACCATTAATTGAAAGAATTCAATTTTCACTGCGACTTTTGATATATTTAATTTATTTCTAACAACGTAGAACCACAAACTAAGGCTGGCGTTTTTGTATTTTGAAAATTGTCGAAAGAAAGGCCGGGTTTAAAAGAAATTTCCTTAATTTTTTGGAGAAGATACGATGCAAAGACTTGTGTATAATCATTGTTGGCGTGTGAATTCAAGCTCCAAAATACTTTAGCAAATATTATAAAACTTCAAATAAACATAGATCCTGGATAACGTACCTCATATTGTTGCAATATACCTGGACGTCTGACCGCTTTATCTAGTTCATCTTCACTTTCGGATATTCAACCGGGGGAGATCCTCTGGAGATAACATGGTATCGACGACGGTGCAGTTGACACCCTCTCCCACCCTGCTCTCGTACCTTTCGAATTGGCAAATGGCCATATAGAGCGTTCCTGTACATTTTAGGCAAGTTTGGGTTACCTGCTGTGCTAATTTATTGAGATTTTTGAGATTTACCTTGTATATTGCATTAGCTTTTACGAAATCTAGGCAGTTACTGGAATTTTTAATGCGCTTCAAAAATTTTGCTTAAAATTCATAAAAATATATAGCCTGAAAGCTTTATATGAGTTCCTACGCGTCTTAAGAATCCGCAAAAACGATTGGAGGTCTGCAGGTATCGGAGAGGCCGCGGCAGTGCTGGCACTCACGGGCGCGATCCGGCCACTGCGTCGCGCGGGGGCTTTTGCCTGCTCCCTTTCGGGCCTGAGCCGTGCACCCCTCCTTGACCGCCCAGGACCTGCCATCCTCCGACAGCTGGCCCCTGGCGACGCAACGCTTGGCGCGGACGCCCGGTCGCCGTACGCAACGACTACCGCGGGACTCCTCCCCTCACTCCATCCACACCAATCTACCACCTAGAAGCTGGCTCACAGGCGCCCGCCACGACGCCCGGTGGTCGAGGTGTCGAAGTGATGCTACTTGTAGCGGAGTATCCGTGAGAGGTTGGATAAGAAATGATAAAGAGAACTGTCAGAACTTGTAAATGAATGGGAACTATGATTGCCGTAAAGAAAACAACACGAAGACGTGAAGAAACGGAAATAAAGTCGTTTCAGACCTAATCATGTCCAATTTTGTAAGCTGGTGAAAAAAAGAACAACTACACGAGAGATTACCCACAGAATATTACTGTTACTAACAGTAAGTGTCAGGAACAGTTTGGATCGCAATGTCTAGGCATAGAGCAGAAGAAAGCCTTAGGTTCCTTTTCCATTATTCCAGCTTCTGTGTCTGTTAGTTCCACCCATTCTGTTTCATAATAAATGGTCACCAGTGTAGTTTGCTGTGCCGTAGTCTGAATTGGCGATTCTGAAGCGATCAGCAGCGACACAGTGATTTTCTTGAAAACTAGCTACAATATCGAAACAAGATAATTACTGATCCAGTTCAGGAAAGAACGACTTATTATTATTTCGAGGTTTTTTTGTAACTTAGTAAAAATAACGAAAGAAAAGTAGATAGTGTCTAGTCCAGGCTTTCCGCGATCTGTCAGTTATTTAGTAAGCGATTACAGAGCCTTCAGGCTTCACCTGGTTTAAGTACACAGGTCTCTTTCTCAAATGGGAGAGATTTCTCCCGTTTCTCTCCAAAAAAAGCTTTTCTTTTAAATTCTAGGAAAACCGAGCCAATATAGCATGTAGTGACGAATTTTAAACTCTGCTTGCTCAAAACTTGCTGCTTTTGACTCAACACCCAAAAGTTAGTTCCTAGAAGTTTGCGAATCAAATTTTGAACGGGTAGATGTGTAGTATAACCAGAAAGACAGCCTCGAAACACTTTCCGCAAAAATTTCAAGCATGAAGATGGAGACGACTCCTGAACACGGTACATCAGGGAAATCGTCAAACTTCAAGATCAACCTTAAAAATGTCCCCCTTTCTGAAAAACAGGACATGTGTCCTTTATGTCGTATTTTAGCTTTTCCTTCATTCTTACGGCGTTCGTGATTATTTGACAGCATGAGAAAAGCGCAAAAAAACTCCCCTATTTTGAGCACATACTGCACTAATCAAGCCGGATAATTGAAGCCATTATGAGAAAGTATGTGCTGTAAGTCGAAGTACATTTGAGTTTCGTTCTTATAGTAATTGCCGCCGAAGAAATACAACTGTGGAAGTTCTTCGCTTTTTGCGTCTTAAAATTATGTGGGCATTTTCCTTCTTTCACATCATTGCATTTGCCACCGGCATGGTCTCTGTGTTATGTAAAAATCAGTTTTTGTGGGCGGAGCCGGTTTTGACTGTTCAAGAAGAGCTTTATTTGGTCATGCCCAAGATATGTAGTTTCCTACAGAAAAAAAACCGTTCAAGTATTGAATGCTCCACAAACTAGAGAAGTGCTACAAAAGCTCACTCAGCATTGAGCTGAGAAGCTGGGTTATTGAAATTCTAGTGTTCTTGAGCCAAAGTGTCCAAATTTAGAAAAAAAATCTGAAAATCGGAACACCTACACTGATGGAACACATCTTCTCTGAACCTTGTCGAAAAATGTGACCCAAATGGTGAAGGATTAGCGAATTATCTCTTGGGTAAGGAAATTGAAGCTTCAAGCCGTTCTCATTGTAATTTCGCAGCAAAAAAATTTAGAAGTTGGACTTTAAGTGGAGGAAAAAACTGCTCGAAGTCACGAAAAAAGCGAGTTTTTTTTTGCACATGTTTCACTCTGACTTGTTTTTGAATGAAAAGATAAGTCGCCCACTATCTCATACAGGCTGGCGTTCAGAATGCTTCCAGAGTTCTCGATGGATTCTGAGAGACAAACCCAGAATGGGTTGCCGCTCAAATTTCTCGGCTCAAAAGTTCCTGACCGAGAAAATCGCTCCAGAAGACTCTTCCACGATTTCGCGGATGAGTTTTCCGTCTCGTCGCGCGTCTTCTGTTGGAGTCGCCTACTGCCTCAAGCGCATGGACAAGGAAGACTCGTACAACTTCAGTCATACCCAATGGCTGTAGCGCTTTAACTACTGTAGGGAACACACTGACAAGACAACTCATCCCATATCCTTCATAACCGGTCC